GTGGAAGGTCCGGGCTCTGCAGGCTGCTGAAGGCGCCCGCGCCGAGCGCCCCGCCGGGCAGGAGGTTACTGGGACTGTTGAGTAGAGGGTGGTTGGGGGACTCCATGGAGCCCGGCGCGGGGTTCACCGGCGGCGTCGAGGCGGCCAAGTCCACATTGGGGGGCTCAGCGGCGCTGCCCTCGCCCGCGGCCGGGGTCTTGCGAGGGCTGCCCGCGCCTCCGTGGCGGCGCCGCTGGGCTGTAGGCGGCGAGGGCGTGAGCTGCGGGAGCGGGGGCAGGTCGGCCAGGCGCTGCCGCGGGGCGAAGTCCTGCGGTGGGAGGTGCTGCGGTTGCGGGAGGCTGAACGGCGGCGGCGGCTTGTGCTGCTGCTGCTGGCGCTGGGCGAGCTGCGCCGAGTGGAGGAGTGGCCCGGGCGGCGGTGGCGGGCTGAACCGGCAGGGGCAGTGGAGCGGCGGCGGCTTCGAGTCCGGAGGGTGGGGAAGGCGGGGGGGGCTGAACTCTTTCCTCTTCTGGCTGCTCAGCTGCTGCTGCTGCTGCTTAGTAAAGTCCTGCGGGGAGGAGGTGCGGCAACAGCAGCAGGGGGAGGCGGAGGCGGAGGAGGGGTGGTACAGACTCGGTTTGAAGTCCTGGGAGGGGAGGAGGTGGGTCACACCCGCGTTCGTGCCGCCGCCGGGGTGGTGGTTGGGGAGTTTCTCCGCGGCCGCCGCCCCAGAGAGCGGCCGCGCCGGCTGCTGTGTCAGGCCCAGCAGCAGCTCATCCTGCATGGTCGGCTGATGCACCGGGAACGAGGAGGAAGAGGAAGCGAGCGAGCTGCCTGCCCGATCGCAGCCGAGGGGGATGGAGAAGGGGGAGGCGGCCTCCGAGAAGCCGGTGACAGGCAACGGCGGCGGCGAGAGCCGGCCGAAGGGCGTGGCGGAGGGCAGCGGGGCGGTGGCCGCGGCAGGCCCTGCGGCGTAGGGGCGGTACGCCCCGCCGCTGAATGGGGTCCCGGGGCTGCTGCTGCGGAGCTGGGCGGTCTGCAGCACCCCGAACCCGAAGTCCCTCATTTATCAGGACGGCGGCCGCGGGAGAAAACGCGCCCTGGCCCCTGCCCCGCTTAGGAAGCCGCTGGATCTGGGGTGGCGCGGCCGTGGTGGAAGGAGGGAGAAGTCAGTGAGACAAGGACACCGTGACTGAACCGAGGGAGGACCGACTTCGGCCCGCCACCCCTGACGGCGGTCTCTGCCGCCTCCTGAAACCCGATGGGACCCTGCCGCCGCCGCCACCGCCGCCGCCACCCTCGTCGCTTAAGAACCCCGGAACGTGCGTCAGCGCCACCTCACAATCGCGCCGCCCCCACCAGCGCATCTCGGCACGCGCGGGCGCGAGGTTGCCCCGCCCCCTGCCCCGCCCATTATTAATATGCAGGTTTGCTTTGGGGCGCGCGCACGCTACGCAGCTCGCGCCTCCGAGGGCGGAAGGAGAGCGGGAGCGAGCGGCGCGTGCACCCTCAGGCCCCTTCCGCGCCGAGAGGGAAAGGAAGGCCGGTTGGGGCGGCGGGCGGCTGACTGGGGTCTTGGTCGCCGGGCATGCGCGCGCACAGGGGCAAGCAGGCGCGGGCAGCGCGGCGGTTCCTGGGCAACCGACCCTCCCGGCCCTGGGGCGCTAGAGCCCCTCCCCCGCCCTCCACGGCCCCACCTCCTTCCTGTCACCTCTGCCCCGCCCCCGGTCACGTGAGGCCGGGCCGCAGGGGCCGGTGCTTCCTGGGGCGGGGCCGCGAGAGAAACTGAGGCCTGGGAGCCCGATGGGGCAGAGCTAAGGGTTCCCGGCGGCCGCGCTCGGCCTGAAGTTCCCATAGAAACGAGCGTGCCCTGGGGCCGCTCGCCTTCTGGCTCTCCCTGAGTCCTTCGCAAACTCGCTCGTCTGGATTTTGTCTGCTGTTCGCCCCACACCTTCTGCACCACCAGGTCCCCCCTTAGTGCCACCCTCGCTGCCCTATAAATGCCTTCCCGGTTTGTTTCGGTGTTCAACCTTCCTTACAGTACACTGTCATCTGCCTCCCTGCAGCGCATGAAGGTGTTTTCTATCGGATGAACACCAAGCACTGGAGCCCCGTGTGTATACCAAATACTTCGCTTCAGCAAAGAGGAACGAAGTCCCTGGAACAGAACACGGCTCCGTGTGGTTATTTACACACATATCTGCATATAATGGGTTCCAAGCCGAGCTCCCCTGGTAACTAACCCTGGGCCAGCTCCAAGTCCCCCTATTTCATGTAAGCATTGAATGCGCGATCTTCAGTGCTCTTCCCCACCACGTTCATGCCCGCATCATCGCCCCTTCCCTCGGGGAGACTCTAATTGAAACGTTTCCGAAGCTTTATGAGTTTCCAAGAGAGAAAGATTTCTCGCTCAGGGAAAAAAGGAGGTTCTGGCTCAGCAGCCTACTTGTTGAGGCTTGCAAAATGGAAGGCAGAGAGCTTTCCTTGGTAGAGCTCTCCCTTAAAGCCTCAGAAGAGGAACTAATCCTGTGCATTTCCTTTCCTAAAAAAACATTTTACATACAGAAAAATATATATATTTGAGGACCTAGATGAAGAATAACAGTGATAGTACATAATAAGATATGAATTTCATGTACTTGTTTTACAATTTTAACTGTTTTTCTTGGTCTTTAGAAGAGTAACCCTCCTGAAAGAAACGTAGTCTGTAGGCTCTAATTCCAAATTCAACAGAAGGTGGGTTCAGCTACTTGATTTTGCTTGACAACTGGACTAAGATAAAACATTTAATGTTATAAATTAGCTCACACTTACTGATGTAGACAGAGTACATTTGTATGAGTTCTTATTCTCTATTATTTAATTTTTTAATTTTATGTAAATGGAGAAAATTTTTATGTCAAGGATTTCATTTTACTTGGACTCACAATCAACACCCATGAAAGCAGCAGTCAAGAAATCAAATGACATATTGCATTGGGCAAGTCTGCTGCAAAAGACTACTTTAAAGTATTGAAAAGCAAAAATTCACTTTGAGAACTAAGGTGCACCTGACGCAAGCCACACTATTTTCAGTTGCCTCATATGCACGTGAAAACTGGACAATGAATAAGAAAGAGGAAGAAGAATTGATGCATTTGAATTATGGTGTTGGTGAAGAATATTGAACATACCATGGACTGCCAAAAGAACAAACAAATCTGTCTTGGAAGAAGTACAACCAGAATCCTCCTTAAAAACAAGGATGGTGAGACTTCATCTCATGTACTTTAGACATGTTATCAGGAGGGACCAGTCCCTGGAGAAGGACATCATGCTTGGTAAAATAGAGGGTCAGGGAGAAAGAGGAAGACCCTCAACAAGATAGATCAACAAAGTGGCTGCAACGATGGGCTCAAACACAGCTAAGATTGTGAGGATGGCACAGGACCGGGCAGTGTTTCGTTCTGTTGTACATAGGGTTGCTGTAAGTCAGAACCGAGTCAATGGTTCCGACTCAATGGCACCTAACATTATTTAAATTTGATTTCAGCTTCTGTTACTTTAGTTTTTCAAAATTGTATAAAACATACAGTAGATAGAAAACAACATTGCAAGGGGAAAATGTTTTATGTATAATGTTTTATGACCGATATCTTGTCTACTACTAAACTAATTTTGATACTGCCTTTACAATAAGAAAAAAATTATACTTAAAAAAAACTCATAAACGGTTCTAAACTTGGTCAAACGAATAAACCATTTTTAACAATCAGACAAAATACAGAACTGGAAAAGTACATTTATTATTCTAAATTACAATGTCTAGAAAATAACCTGAGCTCATTAGAATTAAAATATATAAATGGCCTTTTTCACAGCACATATTGACATATTCTTAAATAGTATTCATTAACACATTTTACAGGGAAACTACTTCAGCAACTGAGGCATGTAAACTCTATAAATGGATAACATTTTTCCTAAGTAATGTTGTATTTGATTGGAATCATCTGCAAGTCCAACAACTCTTGAACGAGGAAGAAAATATAGACATAAAACTTAGCTCAATCATTGGTCAAAATTGCAGTTAGTTCGTTGTAAGGAGAAGAGAGAGCTTTTACATTTAAAAGCCAATGGTGCCTTTCTGGGCTAGAGTTTGAACCAAGATTTCTTTTTCTGAACAAGATTTCTTGGTGTTCTGGTCCTGATTTTGTTTTAGAACATTTAGAGGTCTCTGAAATGGGGAAAAGCTGTTGAAGCCAAGTCTAGCATTAGGTAATAAGGTCAAACTTCAGATTACCCGTTGCCTTCGAGTTGATCCCAACTCGTAGTGACGCTATAGGACAAAGTAGAATTGTCGCACTAGATGGTTCCAAGATTATAATCTTTATGTAAGTGGACTGCCACATCTTTCTTCCTCAGAACGGCTTGTGAGTTGGGACCTTCACTTAGCAGCTGAGCACTTAACCACTGCTCCACCAGGGCTCCTTAAACTTCATATTAAGTATATCAAGTTCCAACTGACAGACCCTTGACTTACTGCTTTAGCATCTCAGAGTGAAATAGCCTGCTAGGACAGTGTTTTTTTTTTTTTTTAATTTCAGCTCATGACCTAATTTACCAGTATATACCAGTTGTCTGTGGAGTCAATTCCAAATCATGGCGACCTCATGTGTGTCAAAGTAGAACTGAGCTCTGTAGGGTTTTCAATGACTTTTTTTTAAAGAGAGGAAAGTTACATTCTGGCATCTAAAATTTAAAGAGGTGAGCTTCCCATCATTGAAAATATTCAAACAGAAAGGTTTCCTGTAATGCGGGATGGGGGGAAGAAGAAGTGAGGTGTTGTGGTCTTCTAAGCAGGCCCAATGCCAAGATCTTATGAGTCTATATTATGATCTTTTTTTTACATGAAAATATTTTAAATCTATGTCCCCTACATTGGGACCTGATTTTATTCAACAGTCTCTTGTTCAATTACTCCTTCTATCCTGAAAAAGTGTTTCAAAAAAATATTGTTGTCTACAACCTAGTACACACACACGAAACTGAGAGTTTTTATTAAACAATTCTTACTCTTAATTTGTGCAGCAAACTTTATTTTTAAATTCTATTTACTTTTCTAAATGTTGGTATCAAATCACTAAATTGATTTTAAGACCAACTACTAGGTCAGGGCAGTTCAAATCCACCCTGAGGTGGTGCCTCGGAAGAAAGGCCTGGTGATCTACTTACCAAAAAACAGCCATTGAAACCCTGTGGAGGACAATCCTACTCTGACACACATGGGGTCACCATAAGTCTGAAACAACTCCACGGACAACTAGTATATACTAGTATATTAGGTCATGAGCTGAAATTAAAAAAACACTGTCCTAAAGACAATTTCACATCTCTATCTCAAAGCCTCCTGATACTTTCTATCTTCACCCTAAGCTGCTGACCTGGCTTCTTATTTCACTGAGAAAATAGAAGCAGTCACAGGAGAACTTCCACAGATCCCCACTGCTACCATTTCCAGTCACTCTGCATCTGTCCCTGTTCTCTCCTTCCCTCCTGCTACAGTGGATGACCTGTTTGCACTCCTATCTAAGGTCAGCCCCTCCACTGGTGCACCACATCCTACACCTTCACCTAGGATACTGGCTCCAACAGTTCCTACTTCTCCTGTTTCATCCTCTTTCCTCTCTGAAACATTTCCATATACATAAAAACCATTTCCCATCTTTGAAAAACAAAAACAAAACCTTTTGACCTCCTACTGCCCGTCTTCAGCTACTGCTTTTACCTCTCCTGAACTCCAGACTTGTATAAACAATGGCCTATTTGAATCTCCAAGTGAGTGTCTCCTGTTGTTAGCTGCTCTTGAATGGGCTCCGGACTCATGGTGACCCCAAGTGCAAGGGAACAAAATGGTGCCTGGTCCTGCACTATCCCCATGATCAGTTGCTGATAGGACCCTTGTGATCCATACTGGTTTTCACTGGCTGATTTTTGGAAGCAAATCTCTAGACCTTTCATCTTAGTCTGGAAGCTCTGCTGAAACCTGTTCATCACAGCATCATGCAAGCTTCCACTGACAGACCAGTGGTGGCTGCACATGAGGTTCATTGGCCAGGAATGAAATTTGAGGTGTCCTGGTGGTACAGTGGTTAAGAGGTATGGCAAGCTACAGCTGCTAACCAAAAAGCTGGCAGTTCGAATACACCATCTGCTCCTTGGAAACCCTCTGGGGCACTTCTACCCTGTCATATAGTGTTGCTCTGAGTCGGAATAGACAGCAAGGAGTTTGCTTTTTTTTTTTTAACTTATTTTATTTTTTTATGAGACGTTCAGCATTGGTGGTTCAGTGA